CTTTGGGCAACCAAGGGGCAATCCCTATGGTTGCCGTGCCGAGCAACTCTGTGGAGAAACCCGAAAAATTTAACGGGTTAAACTTCAAGAGGTGGCAGCAAAAGATGCTATTCTATCTCACTACTCTCGGTCTTGCAAGGTTCTTGACCGAAGATGCGCCGGTAGCAACCGGGGGTGAGGTGGATGCGCAATCTTTCAACGCGGTTGAAGCTTGGAAGCATTCTGACTTCCTTTTCCGAAACTATGTGTTGAACGGGCTGCATGATGCTTTGTACGACGTGTATAGCAAACTAGCTACGGCTAAGGAGCTATGGAATGCTTTGGACCACAAATATAAAAGCGATGATGCCGGCGCAAAGAAATTTGTTGTTGGTCGATTCCTTGATTTTAAAATGGTGGATTCAAAGACGGTCTTGAGTCAAGTTGAGGAAATGCAAATGATCTTCAACGAAATTCGAGATGAAGGGATGACAGTTAGTGAGTCTTTCCAAGTGACGTCAATTATCCATTTATTGCCGCCGGCTTGGAAGGATTTCAAGAACTACCTTAAGCACAAGCGAAAGGAAATGAACTTGGAGCAATTGATCCTCCGTCTGCGGATTGAAGAGGATAACCGGAAGAACGATGGGAAACTCCCAATTGTTCATGGCGCCAAGGCAAATGTGGTGGAGCATGCAAAGGGCTCCAAAACTAAAAATAATGGGAAGAGCAAGCTCGGTCCCAAGGTAGGCGTTTCCAAGACGAAGTTCAATGGAAAATGCTTCAATTGCAACAAGAACGGACACAAGTCCGCGGATTGCAAGGCACCAAAGAGAAAGAAAGATTCTCACGTGAACTTGGTGCAAGGTGGGCAAAAGGATGAAGACATCATCCTTGCGGCTGTGGTGACCGAGGTCAACCTCGTTGGATCCAATTCCAAGGAGTGGTTCATGGACACCGGTGCAACCCGGCATATTTGCTCAAACCGGGAGCTATTCACGACCTTTGAGCCATCAAATGGTGAAAAGGTGTGGATGGGAAATTCTGCTCATTCCGCGGTGGAAGGCGTGGGCAAAGTGGTCCTGAAGATGACTACGGGCAAGGAGCTGACTCTAAACCAAGTTTTGTTTGTTCCGGAAATTCGCAAAAACCTGATTTCCGGTTCGTTGTTGAACAAACATGGCTTCCGCGTGGTCTTTGAGTCGGACAAATTAGTTTTGTCTAAATAGGGAATGTATGTGGGCAAGGGATATGTAGTTGATGGGTTTTTAAGCTCAATGTAATGACTATTATTAATAATAATAATAAAATACCTTCTGCTTACTTGCTTGAGTCTTCTAATGTGTGACATGGTAGACTAGGACATGTTAATTTTAATTCTATACGTAGATTGATTAACATGGAGCACATTCCTAAATTCACAATTGATGTGAAGCACAAATGTGAAGTTTGTGTAGAGGCAAAACTAACGAAAACGTCTTTCAAATCGGTTGAAAGAAAAACGGAACCACTTGAATTTATTCATAGTGACGTTTGTGATTTTAAATCAATACAAACACGTGGCGGTAATAAATATTTTATTACCTTTATCGATGATAGCACTCGCTATAGCTACGTTTATTTATTAAAAAATAAACATGAAGCAATCGATAAATTCATTCTTTATAAGAATGAAGTGGAAAACCAACTTAATCGAAGGATTAAGACGGTTAGGAGTGATCGAGGTGGTGAGTATGAAGCACCAATTGGTGACTTTTGCGCTAGTGTGGGTATAGTACACGAACGTACCGCACCCTATTCACCTCAATCAAACGGTGTTGCCGAACGAAAGAATCGCACATTGAAAGATATGATGAACGCGATGCTAGTAAGTTCGGGCTTGCCACAAAATATGTGGGGCGAAGCAATCTTGACAAGCAATTACCTTTTAAATAAGGTTCCCCGGAAAAAATATGATAAAACTCCGTACGAGTTGTGAAAAGGCAGACGGCCTTCCTATCAATATTTAAAAGTGTGGGGGTGTCTTGCTAAGGTGCTTGTACCAACACCTAAGAAAATAAAAATAGGTCCAAAAACGGTGGATTGTATTTTTATTGGATATGCACAAAATAGTAGTGCTTATCGGTTTTTAGTGTACGATTCGAATAATCCGGATGTACATAAAAACACAATAATTGAATCAAGGAATGCTTCATTCTTTGAAGATGTATTTCCATGCAAGTCCAACGAAGGGCCTAGCACGTCAAAATGAACATTTGACGTAGCTATGGAAAATACTAGCGAGGGATCCGGAGAAGAACCTGAACCCAGACGTATCAAACGTGCTAGAGTTGAAAAATCCTTCGGACCGGATTTTCTCACCTACCTGGTAGAATTTGAACCGGATATTCTAACATGTATGGTAGAAAATGAACCGGATTTTCTAACATGTTTGGTAGAAAATGAGCCACGGACTTATACGGAAGCCGTGACGTCTACTGAAGGTCCTATGTGGAAAGAAGCCATCAAAAGTGAGGTGGATTCTATCCTTAAAAATCACACATGGGAATTGGTTGATCTTCCTCCGGGAAATAAACCTTTGGGATCCAAGTGGATTTTTAAACGGAAAATGAAACATGACGGTTCCATCGATAAGTACAAGGCCAGACTTGTAATCAAAGGATACAATCAACGTGAGGGCCATGATTACTTTGACACGTATTCTCCTGTGATGAGAATAAATTCCATTAGGATGATACTAGCAATTGCCGCATTGCGGAAATTGGAAGTTCATCAAATGGACGTAAAAACCGCCTTTCTAAATGGCGATATAGACGAAGAAATATATATGGAACAGCCCGAGGGCTTTCGTGTTCCAGGCCAAGAAAGGAAAGTGTGAATTAATTAAATCATTGTATGGATTGAAACAAGCGCCTAAACAGTGGCACGAAAAGTTCGATCATGCAATGTTAATTAATGGGTTTAAAATAAACGAAAGTGACAAATGCGTCTATGTGAAAAGCACGGTAGACGGCTATGTCATTTTATGTTTATACGTGGATGATATACTCATCGTGGGTAGCAATAATCTAACGATTAATTCTACCAAAAGCATGTTAAATTCTAAATTTGACATGAAGGATATGGGGCTGGCCGATTTAATCCTTGGGATTAAAATAATTAGAGGACCTGACGGTCTTACGCTAAGCCAATCCCATTACGTTGATAAAATCCTTACGAAATTTAATAAGGATGATTATCAAGAGGCAAGGACTCCATTAGATAAAAACGTACAACTTACCAAAAATCATGGAGAGTGTATTTCTCAAGTAGAATACGCTAGGGTTATTGGAAGCTTGATGTATCTAATGAGTTGTACCAGGCCTGATATTGCCTTTGTGGTTAGCAAGTTGAGTAGATATACTAGCAACCCCGGTGCTGAACACTGGAAGGCAATAGTAAGGATTTTGAGGTATTTACGTAAAACCCAAAACCTTGGACTGCACTATGGAAGATATCCAGCTGTACTTGAAGGGTATAGCGACGCTAGTTGGATATCCGACATAAAGGACTCTAAGTCCACAAGTGGATATGTTTTCACTTTGGGAGGTGCAGCCGTATCATGGAGAGTGGTTGTATTTTTGTTGCATTATGTGTCAGTAATGTATTTCTAACTATCAATTCATGAAACAATCTGCAGGCCTATAATTCAGATAAAGATCTAGAGCTGTTTTCCTACTCCACAATAGGGGTGGAGCCCAACATGGTGTGTCCTGGTGTTTTAGAGATCCTCATACACTTCCTACATATGTAATGATTTGTAGTTGTACATGGACTGAATTTGAACCCCTTTTAATTTTCAGACTCCAAGCTCCTTTGATAATTAAAATGTCCCAACTCCACACTCATCAATTTCAAAACGAGTTTCGGAAGGTGATCCTCTAGGATCTGAAACAGGATCCAGCCAAGGCTCAAGTGTCAAAAAACAGAAGTTCATCAAGCTAGAGATGGACTCAAGTTCAAGCTTCCTGATTTTTAAACCTCTTTAAAGCATTCTGCACTCTTAGTAAATTAGGATTAATAGCATATATACTTGCTCCATGAACATCTCTTCATGATGCTTCTCATTCACGTGATCTTTTAATATAAGTCGTTTTAATAAATTTGGATTCTAGCATATATAGTTGATCCTTTGAATGATTATCTATTGGATTTCGTTGTTTTACTTTAATACAAACTTCAGTAAGCATTTGGTGAAAATGTCCAACGTTCTGTGTGTGGCTTTAGATACCATGATCTGGAAAATTACAACATTATTACTTTGATTCAATTCTTTTTCTTATTGCATAATCCTTTTATTTTGTGGGACATAAAACAACTTTGTATTGAGGTATATATATATATATATAGGGGAATTTTGAATTTGCACCCCATTTTTTGGGTGATATTGGACTTTGCACCCCATTTTCAAAACTTTTAGACTTTGCACCCTATCTACAATATTTTGTGAAGAAATATTCCTGAATGGGGTGCAAAGGCAAAGACATTTTAGGGGAAATAGGGTGCAAAGTCTAAGAGTTTTAAAAATGGGGTGCAAAGTCCAATATCACCCCAAAAACGGGATGCAAAGTCAAAATATCTCATATATGTGTGTGTGTGTGTAAATTCAACTATGAAAAAGAATTAAGTTTTTATAACGACCTTATTATTCATGGCTTCCTGCTATTTCTTATATGCCAAAAAGATGAGGTAAGTCATATTTATTGTAATAAACATCTACCCAATACATTACTTACATGCTATCTCTACTAAGCAAAAAGTATATAAACACTTAAACTTGGGTGATCCTTTTAGACATTCTCTATTTTCCATGGGAATTAGTTCCTAATGGTCTCAATCTTACCAAAAGAGCAAATGTTAGGAGTGCTCTGACACTTGAACTTCACTTTTCAGACTAATGACTTGGCATTCCATCTTTTACCTTTGCACTTTTGATTCTCACCATTAAAGTTAGACTGTGACCATGCCTGTTACTTGTGTAAGGTCAGGCTTTATTTTTCATTTCAACATTGTTTCACATGATAAAGAAGTATATGCCGTTTGTTTCAAATAAGGAGACTCAAGTTGAAACTTTAGCATGCATGGACTTGAAGTTTTGATTATCTTTTTGCTATCATGACATTTTTTGCTTGGGAATTCAACATGGTTTGTTTTTATGAATACATATCACCATAGAAGGTACATTCCATCTTTTCAGGTTACTTTTTTCCTTTCACTTTTTGAATGTATAATATGTTTATACTATTAGCAGTGTTTAAACTAATGTGGGCACTTTAATTGTTAACTAGGAGTTGAAGTGTGTGAGGCTTCTTGACGGAGTCTCACTCAATGATCAGACTGTGGAAATGGAAAACTGGGAATTTTATTTGGACTATCTTCTTTCGGGCCAAATATGCTAGAGGAGAGAATATGGTGCCAGAGGTTTCTGACTCCTTTGTTTGGAGAAGGATTTGCTCCATACATGACACTGCTTCTTATCTGTGTAATTCTCCTTGTGATGGCATATACCGGGAGGCAAGTGAGGATGGAAATTTCCTTTAGATCTGCTTTTGAAGGAATGAGGAATGGGCTGCCTGCAACTTTTTCTTTTGCTCATAATTGACATCCTAAACAACAAATGAAAATAAAACTGTTACAATGGAAAATCTTGAATGGTATCCTTCCTATAACTGATAACCTGGGTAGGTTTCAACAGATGTTGAATCTGTCTATGTGCCCTTTGTGTAAGAGTCAAAGTGACTTTACAGAATATCTTTTGTATTGCTGTGAACATGTGCAACCAACTTGGAGTTACTTCATGGGCATATTTGGTATCACTGCTGTGTCCAGCTCATATTTCTCAGGACTGTTGCCTTCTTATCTTTCATGCTTTCTTTCCTTACTGATGTGTATACACAATGGCGGAAAGTGGTTTTATGCTTTTTGATTTTTTTTATGTCTTTGTGCTCCTTAGACTAAGTGTCTGGTCACTTGCATGGTTGATTTCTACAGAATTTGGATATCTTAAGTTAAACAATATCCAGAATAGATAGATTTAAAAAAAAGAGAAAAAGTTTTTGGAGGTTTGTTTGTGACAATTATTTTATTTTAGAGGACAAAATATACTATTTTGAAAAGAAATTTTACAAATTCAAGGTCTGAAAGATCGTTTACTATCTTTCATTTTCTTTATTAATACAGAGAACCCAAAAGATTGAAAACTACCAATCAAAAATAAAAATTATTGTACAATTTCATTCATTTTTATTGTTTACAGGGCTACCAATTTTTTTCAAAAAAAATTGTTACTTGTACAAAAAATAGCATTTACAGTTTTAAAAATTATAATTAATGTTCATGATATTGTAGTTGTTAGAACATGTTCGGTAATACTAAAATTGGCTTAATCGGCTTATTCTACTTACGCCGATGAAACGGGTAAATTGGTTGAACTTGTTAAGGTATACAAAACATACGTTTAAAATAATTTTTATATGAAACATAAAGAAATTATTATATGAAAATATAGACGAAATCGATCAAATTTAAACAGACCAGACCAGACTTAAACAGACCAGACCAAACCAGCAAATTTCATTTCAAGTAAAAACATCATAAATTCCAAAAATTCAGCCATAAAAATAACTAACCTTATCCATCTTCCTTGATAATTTATTCACACTTTAACAATTCAATATCAAGTACACGGTAACACTTTTTTTAATAAAGCCCATTTTTCCCTCTTAATCGAATTTTAAGGGACCAAGGTAGTATTATATGAGATCCATTCACCCAAATTCCTTAATGGAATGCGCTGTTCTGGAGTTCCCGCGCATGAAATCAGGTTAAAGGTAGGTGTACTCAGCTTATTCCGTCATGCTCATGAGGAATATTGATTTCTCTTCGGGGTTATGCAATGGTACTCAGCTTATTGTGACCCGACACAAGAGTCAAGGTTGTATGTGGCGGTATCTAGGATTACAAATCCATCAGGATTAAAATTCATGATATGTGATGATAAAGGCGAGCGGCGAGCCCAACAATTCTACACTTAATGTAGTGTATAAGGAAGTGTTCAAAATTTTGTAAACGATTTGTCGTATTCCATACAAGTGAACAAAATATTAAAATTCATGTTTTATTATAACATTTATGATCGATCTTTCGACATTGCATACATTCTCAAAGTAGAATAAAAAACATAACCCATATATCAAATTAATTTACAATACATGTAACTAATTTGGAACTCAAAATTACAAAATATTTAATGCCCGTGCAACGCACGGGTGAAAAACTAGTATATATTGATTCGGAAACTGCGCATCCCCTCCTCATTCTTCATCGTAATTCGTAATTTCTCGAGTATGTTTGACTAAAATTGTCAAAACTAGGGGTGGATTCGGTTCGGACCACCCGGCCCGTGACCCGGCCTAGCCCGCTACTGTGCGGGCCCGGGACTTGCCCGGTCTGGCGGTCCGAGACCGGGTGTAGACCCGAACCGGGGAGTTAGGGCGGGGCGGGCTCGGTTCTGAAAAAAGTTGACCCGGCCCGGTCGGGTCGGGCCCGGGTCCGGGTCCAACGGTCAGATTTAAAAAAAAAATCTTTTGGACTTTTGGGCCAAATTAGCCGTTGGGGGGTGGGCTGCAGGGGGGTCCGGGCGGTTTGGGGGGTGGGGTGGGGTGGGGTAAAAAAAACTATAAGTATTCCTAATCTAAAACATTTTTCCATATCTCTTCTCCAACTCTTCCTAAATCCTACTCTTAACTCTCTACTCTCTAATTATCTTCATCTTCTCAAATTCTCTTATTCTCCAATATATTATATATCTTATATCTACTTTATATTAATTATCTACTTATAATTTATAAATACATACATTATATTACTTATATTTCTTATCTAATTAAATATTACTTATACATTTATTATATCTATTAATATAGTTGGAATTATATCTAATTAATTTGAAGTCATTCTATTACTCCCATCCGAAAGACCGAAAGTCCGAAAGAGGTACGAAATCATTCTATTATTTACACTTGTTTAATTGTGTATTAACATTACTTGAAAAAAAAACTAGTTAATTCTCATTATAAGTAAATCTATGTGCATGTCATGTTATAAATTTATGTGTGCAAGATGGTCTAAAAGCGTTGGGAGCATCTTTGGAGGTATTCGGGGGGGGGGGGGGGGGGGGGGGGGGGGATTAGACGTATTTGGGATAACGGACAACTTAGAAAAAAATAACATGATTATTTGATAGAAAGAGGTGAAAAATATGTGGCTTTTCCAAAAGATTTGTCTATTCGTTGGAAAAGTACTTATAAGTTAATTGCAATTCTTCTTAGATATAGGGGGTGTTTGGAACTGATTCTGCTTCTGCTTCTTTTTTAAAGCAGAAGCAGAATTAGAATCAGTTTTCAGAAGTTGATACCCCCCAGCTTCTAAAAAACTGATTCTAGGAGTAAATTAGAGCATCAGAATCACTTCTGCATTTTCACCCAAACACTCCAACTTTTACTTCTGCTTCCTGAAGGAGCAGAAGTAGTTTTAAGAATCAGATCCAAACACCCCCATAAACAACATTTTCCTGTTTTTATGAAACAATATGATAACTATATTATAAACTCGGCTGAGATCGACACCTGTGAAAAAATTTGTAATGCTTTGATATACTTTAATAATGCAACAGAAACTTTTAGTCATGTTTATAAACCTACCTCAAACCAATTTATTCATGAAACTGTTAATCTCGCTAGTGCTTTTTCAAATTTTGAGAATGCTGATTATGTGAGTTATTTTGCTGATTTTATGAAGGAAAAGTTTTTAAAATGTTATTCACATATTCCGCATACAACCGAGGATGGCTCTACCTATAACCCTATGTCAGAGAATCTGATTGATTAGTATTTCATGTTTTAATTTTACCTTCAATTTTCAATTGTACTTGTAAACTTGTAGTTCATATTTACAATTTACAAAACGTATTTCATATTGTATTTTTTTCTTAATTGTCAAAAAATGTAGTTCTTATTTCATTTCAAATAAATGCACTTGAAATTTGTTTTAAAACTTGTATAAAATTATAAAGTATAAATTATTAAAAAAAGGATTTCACCGGCCCGGCGGGTGGCCCAACCCGTGACCTGGGCCCATCACTTACAAACCAGCGGCACAGCCGGGCCTAGGCCTAGCCCGACCCAGCCCGAATCCACCCCTAGTCAAAACAAGTTAGTGGACGATTAAGTGAATTACTTGAGTGGCTACTTCAACGGAAAAAGTAAATTTTAAATAGTCATCAATATAAAACCATCTGAGGTGAAAATAAACAACAAGAGAAGCAGCATATCCTTGATCAAAACTATATAAGTCAGGTATTACAAGTTCAAACAAATATTTAAATCAAAAGGCCAAATCAAACAACTAAGATTGAACGTTGGAGGACTTGTTGAGTATAACACCTTCATATTTGACCTGGAACCACTTCATTGCATCATCTTTAGTGACACGATGTTGGATTCCCACACGGGCCTTGCACCTACGTCGACGTGCTACACGGAAGCCGGGCCGTTCCAAGACAACAAAGAAATCCATACCATAAATACCAGTTGAAGGGTCATACCTGCATGATGGATTGACAGAACAAAAGACTAACATCTCACACAACCATTTATAGATCGCCCCGCAATTGTTTGGCGTTCAATTGGGTATATAACTTTCAGCTTTTGGAATTTAGAAATTCAATTTGCAATAGTTAAGGTGCATATTAGTAACTTGTGGGGGGCATTGTTAGGCAGTACATAATGTCAATAATGCCTCAAGTTGAGCACAAGTCCAAACACAGATCATGAACCGTGACAGTTATTTTCACCAGATTTACTGAACTGTACCAAGTCAAACTACCTCCACCCTAGACAGTTGATTGCAATCAAGCAAAGCTTGTAATTCAAGATTTGTGAAAGTTGAGGCATACTGGAAATCTGGAATAAGTTGTGGTTAAGTAAAATGAATCTTTTAGCGGAAGTAGAAACATTTAAGAGTCTAAATTTTTTGAAATTTAAGGCGGGTATGAATTTACATGAAGGCAAACATAGTATGAACAAAAAGTGCAGTTTGCGAGAACAAATTGAGACACCTACTTGATTCCAAGATCAATGTGCTCCTGAATACCAAATCCAAAGCACCCTGTATTGCTGAAGTTCTTGCGAAGCAGCTCATATTCCTTCACCTTCAACCCACTCTCGAGGAGTTGCATTGCCTTGTCACCCCTGACTGTGACATAGCACGCAATCTTTTCATTACGTCTTATACCAAAGGACCTCACAGTATACCTGGCTGTTCAGACAAGCACATAAAGTCAGAAAGTATATGACACACACAATGGAAGGGAAAGTCAGAATGAAGTGTGATGGAGTAATATAAAAAATGTACTTTTCTGTCAAACACCACTGAAACTATTGGCATTAAATTAATTCAATAAAAATAAAAAGAGGTTTCAAGAGAAAATATATCCATCCAATTATCGATTTTCCTTTAACTTATATTGTTTACAAAGCCAAACAAGTTGTACAGCCAAGAACATTAGTTGAGATAAGCTTTCTGTACCTGCCATGGTAAAAAGTAGGAAGACAAAAAATCATTTACCTATAAGCACACCCAGCACAAAGGATATGATAAATGGTGACGGTGATAATGTAATCTAATCAATTTGCTAGGCAAACACCCAAGGTTTAGATACAATGCCTAAATTGGCCCTAAGCACATCACGCACACTTTGAGACAACGAGCTTAAAAAATGCCCCTAAAGTGTCAAGTGTGCAAAGGTTGGAGAATCGTTCATCTGGAAACATTGAAGGGAAGACATACCCTTTGAGAAAACTGGGGTCTGACCACTGAGTTGCTCCAGCACCTATATACACAACAAAAAATGGCTTAATTTGATCACATAATTCAAGCAACTGTAATGTAGACCCACAAATGTCGAGGCATAGTACCTTCGCAGCTCTGGTGAGACGATCACCGCTCTCTCCAACGGAGATGTTCAGGACGAGCTTCTGGACCTTGATTTCCCTCATTGGGTTGCTCAATTTCTTCTCTGATGCCTGTTCATTTCACACGAATGAGAGTAAATTGAGATGTTCGTAGTCGCGCATGAAAATAAGAGTAAATTGATAAGCATAGAGAAGAGATACCATGACGTTCGACGGAAGTGGTACGCAATTTGGGAGATTGCCGCGGCTGGAAGCACAAGTCGAAACGCTAAATCCTTGCGCAACCAGTCTAGGGTTTTTGCCCTCCTGGAATGTCTATTTTATCCTTCAGCTTATTCTTTTGTTAGTTTATACTCTAAATAAACTAGATTTTCACTCATGCGATGCACGGTCAGAAAAGTGTTTAAAAATTTATATTAATAATTTTTAAGATAAACATTTATAAATTGGGATTTTCAAAATATCTTTTTTTATAAATAAAAACGACCCTCAGAGGAGTAAGATTTGTGGGGAAAAGAGAGTGTTCTTATTTTCTTAAAAATAAGATTCAAAATAATTACTCGTATAAAAAGTTGCTAAAGTTTCTAATTTTATTAAGAAAAAGAAGTTTCTAATTTTAGGAGCAAGTGAGTAGTGTTTTTGTAAAATACTCCGTAATACTTTGTACGTAGCAATAGTATTTCAATTTTTGAAATTGTATTAGTATCAAGTATATACGTAGTACTCCTGAATCTCACTTTCTGTTTTTTGTCGTATCAAAATATGTGTCCCACTTTCATTTTAAGAAATAAATTTTCTCCCAAAGCAGCTACAATATACTGTAATAAAGTAAACAGTCCCGCAACAGTACTAAAAAACTCTTATCTTTTTCAAAAAGGTAGAGTAAACCTAAAATTATCTTAAACCACGTGAAAAGCCGACTGCGACACTTATAGAGATACGGAGAGAGTATATTCCAGCCTCATTTTGAGAACTGGAATGCACCGTTAAATCCATTTGTTCAATTTCAATTTAGTCGATTTCAATCACTTTACATGAAATTCATCATGTTTCGGCCAATTTGTGCATGTTTAGTCAGTTTTTAAATACAAAATCACAAACTGAATCGGACAGAATCGAGTTAATTTTGGTGTTAGTTCAATTTTGGTTAATTTTGTGTTATCGATTTTTTCGCTAGACCCAGTCATAATTAAACTAACTCGCAAAGTATGAAAAACAAATAAAACAGCAGCCCAAATAGTTTGGCCTTGTCAACACTACTTAACGGTATCTCCTATAACTGAATAACATCATCTTCTTCTAAAATACCACTGTCCTTTAAACATTGAAACATGAAACCCGTGGAAATTACAAAATACCCGTGAAAATACCCGTGAAACATGTAACTGAAACACTTACATATAAAAACATGAAACATTGAAACCCGTTAGAATCATATAAACAATACATTTTTTCTACTGAAAGACCACAGACATTCTTCAAGAAGTCCCTGCATAGTTAAACATGAAACCCGTGGAAATTTAAAAAAAACATTTTTTCTATTAAAAACAAAAGAGATTGTTCGAGTGAGCACTATTAAATGTAACAAAAAACAAACACTATGTTTTAATCTAAAATATGCTATCACTCATTAAAGAAGCTATCAAATAACTTACTTTTACAAAACTAATTTGGTTGAAGTTTGAAAAAATCCTAAAATTAGCAGTATATTTGTTGAAGCCACCTACACAATTAAGGAGAACGATATTGATAGTATAAGATAGATGTACTCCGTATTCAGCAACAATGTTCCATTAACAATAATACCACCATAGATGGAAAGCAAAGAAAGACACTAAAACTACTCACTTTAATTTTACACTTAGATAAGATATGAAGTAAAACAGATACTAACACTCGTTTGAGTCAAATCAGATTTTAAACTTTTCATGAGCAAATTTGAATTAATACTCAATACGAAAAAACAATGAAGCAATGTCATAAAATGATACTGTAAATGTCATTAAAAGTATTTATCATTACCGTCATATAATCCTTGTAGGTGCAACTAATGTTCATCCTCAATGACGGCTTAGAGCAGCTAGACCTCCTCGCCGGTATGGCGTTTTATATATAGAAGGCAGGAGCAACTGAGCAAGAAGTTAGAAGCATTTTTTTGTTGGTAGTCTAATTGACAGGCTTTAGTTTTATTTTATACGGAGTAAAAGTGTACTACCCAACCCCCAATGAGTTGTCACTTCCTTGCACATCTTTTGATCAACCTACCTCTGCATTCTCCCTTGAGAAGCCAAATAGACAGTTTATTGAGCCCAACAAAACTTTGCTTCGAGGCGCAGCTTTTCTATTCCCAACCCAATATTTACACTCGTATAAGGCTCCTACTTTATTGACCCGTTTTTACCCTTGACTTTGGGCGGAAAAATGGACAAAAATCCACCTCCTTTTGTATATAGATAGATTAGATATTGTCTTATGAAGGATTAAATGTTTTTAATCCCCTAAATTAGATTCCGGATTTCCATTATTTCTTCGTATCTAATACTCCTTAATTAATACCTTTTTTTGTAAGGAATCTAGTTAATTATTATTCATAAAGTAATACAAGGAGGATTCATATAAAGACAAATATAGCGATCAAACATCGAAACAGCGGTCCGAGCAAGATCATGGGCCACACGATTCGCAGACCGCTTCACGTGAGAAAAGGAAATGCTGGTAAAACCAGAAGCAATATCTCTAATATCTTCCACAATTAATCCTGGTAAGGAGTCATCCGGTCCCGATTTGATTCTGCTAATGATCTGAAGAGAGTCTGATTCAACGTCAATATTATCCCATCCATGATGCTTCAGCCAGCTAAGTGCCTCTCTTATGGATAGAGCTTCGGCCATCGTCGGGGAACATCCGTGACAAGTATTTACTCCTCCTGCAACAAAGAAACCCTCACTGTTACGAACAACCCAGCCCCGCCCAGCCCACTAATGTTACCAGGCGAAACAGAAGCATCTGTATTACGCTTTAGTCGGTCCTCTTTTGGTCGTTTCCATGTCGCCACCCCCACCCCCCACCCATGTTGTTGAGTTGTCTGCAAAATTCCCTCCTGGGTTCTACGCCATGCTTCTAAAAAAATCTGGCTTCAGACACTATACCTTCCACTGTCACCTCCTTCTGCTCCGAGACTTTGACATTCCTAGCCCTCCATATGCTCCACAAAAGCATCACAAATAAACTACATCTTTCTACATCTCTTGTGCGAAAAATATTCTCAACCTATTCAGAAAAAGAAGTTTCTGCACTAACCGAGATGTGCCACCGTCAAAAGCTCCACACCTGTAATGCTTTGTGACACGACCCGAAAATATGTAAAAGGGTCTCATCCTCCTGTGAACACACCGGGCATATTGACTGACAAGGCACCCTTCGGCTCAAAAGCTTATCTGCGGTAGGAAGATGACCGGCACATGCTTGCCAAAAGAAAGACTACACCTTCGGGGGGATATCAAATTTCCACATCCTAGCCCAAATGAGTTCATGCCCTGAACTAACTTCCCCAACAAGAGCGCGATAACAACTTTTGACCGAGAAATTACCTTTTCCTTTCAAAGGCCAGAAAATCCGGTCCGGCACATCCCTCCGGCTCAGAGGTAACCCCAACACAAGATCCCTATCCCCCGGATTGAATACCTCAAAAACTAGATCCCTATCCCATTCCCGGATTTCATTTTGAATCAGACCCTCCACTTTTGTCTCCTTCAATCCTTGAATAATTTGAGAAATAGGCCTAGGGTGAGATCTATCTAGGAGCCAAGGATCCCTCCAAATATTCACTGACTTGCCATCTCTGATGCGCCATCTGAAATTATTAATAATGATCGGCTTTGCTTCCATAATGCTCCTCCAAATGAAGGATGGAGATCCTCCAATTTTTGCCTCCATAAAAGAAGAACGGGGAAAATACCTGGCTTTAAACAGCTTAGAGAGCAATGAGTCAGGTGTTGTAAGTAATCTCCACGCCTGTTTTCCCAGCATAGCAAGATTAAAGTTATGTAGACTCCTGAAACCCATACCCCTGTATTTTTTGGGACACACAATCTTTCCCAATCAGACCACCGAATCCCTGTACTAGAGTACCCTTTCCACCAAAACCCATTCATGATTCTCTCAATCTCACCACACATCTCTTTAGGAAAATGGAAAACATTCATGGCATAACTTGGCATGGCCTGAAGAACTGTTTTGATTAGAACTTCACATCCTGCTCTAGACAAAAATTTGTGATTCCAACAACTAAGCCGCTTTACAATCCTTCTTTCATGTAAGCCAGAACTTCCCTTTTACTTCTACTTACCAGAGAGGGGAGCCCCATATATTTAGCCCCTGCTTCCATCGGTTGAACACCAAACATCTCCTGGAAACCATCCCGTTGACGAGAAACCACGTTTGCGCTAAAGGAGATGGTGGATTTATGATAATTAATAACCTGACCCGAAGCCACCTCATAATATTCGAGAACTGTCTTGACAATGGAGCATTCATCATGAGAAGCTTTAGGGTATGTTTGGGATTTCGTAGGGAAGGGGAGGGGAAGGCTTTGGAGATACGTTGTTGAAGGGGAAAGGGAGGAAGCCCTTGTTTGTATTTGGGAGTAATAAATTTGGAAGAAGATAGAGAGTTTTTGAATGAGTTATAATTAAAATCACTTTGAGATATGAGGAATTTAAATAATTGAACTGATATTTATTTTTAATTGAGCTTAAATTACCATTTCATTAATTATCTTTCAAAACCCTTCAAATTGGGGGAACTTAAAAATTAAGCATTTAGAGAGTTTTGGAGGGTTATGAAAGCCCTCCAAAACCATCCTCTCCAATTTTATAAACTCTCAAACATGAAAATGAGGGTTATAAACCCTAATCAACCTTCCCCTCTCCTCCAAAACCCAACTCCCAAACACACCCTTAAAGAATAAAAAACAATCATCCGCAAAAAGTAAGTGTGAAATACGGGGAGCCCCTATAGGCACACACACTCCATGGAGTCTACCCGCCGCCTTTTCGTGTCTCAAACGGGCACTCAGCCCCTCAGCAACAAGGATAAACAAATAAGGAGAAAGTGGGTCTCTAAGACCCCTATGTGGGACCACACGTCCCAATTCAGACCCATCAAAAGGAATAGAATAAGTCACTGTTCTCACTGATTGCATAACCATGAAGACCCATCTACCGTCAAATCCGAGTCTAATGAGGACCACCTCCAAAAAATTCCATTCAATTCTATTGTATGCTTTGCTCATATCAAGTTCGAGGGCAATATAGCCATCAAGGCCCTCTCTCTTACGTTTGAGATAATGG